ACTTCTATATTATGATCACCCTCGTTTACCATTTCCCATCTCTACACCTCAATTCGTTTTTTTGTTTTTTTTGTTTTTTTTTTTTTAAGAACGACGTTAGGCGGTGAAGTTAAGCTGTTCCGAGACGTTACCTTGACCGTTACCGTTTGATATCTGACCGTTACGTGCGTCTCTCGCTCCCTGCCTTTCTCTCGTTCTCTCTCTCCCATCCCCTGGTCAGCGCTCTCCCATTGGTGCATTTTCCACCGGAAGCGCGCCGACCAGGTGGTGCAGACATGGCAGAAGCACTTCGCGAGCACGTCGCAGGATCGCAAGTTACCACTGCTGTACCTCGCGAACGACATTCTGCAGAACAGCCGCAAGAAGGGCCCCGAGTTCATTCAGGAGTTCTGGCAGGTGCTGCCCTCCGCGCTCCAGGACCTCGTGCGCGTCGGCCCCGACAGCACGCGGAAATCAACCCTCCGCATCGTACGTCGTTCCAGTTGCACCGCATTCCAGATCACTGGTAGTAGCGGAGTGTACCCGGAAATTTGGGTCAAGTGGTAGTACCCGGAATGCTCCCAGTAGTTTAAAATCATATTAGTGTCAGGAATGTCTCTGGCACGCGTACCGAGCGTGCCGTGCCACGGTCTGAAGAGCCGCCTCAAGATCGGGTTCGCGTTCAAAAATCCTCCGTATTGTGATCCCTTATCTCGCTGCATTTGGAGGGTGAGGCGAGGGTGTCGCATTGGCGGCTCGTCAAGAGCTCCTGGGGGTTTCGTCTGACGGCTTTGGCAAATCAACCTTCCGGGTTGTACGCACTGCATTTGACCTCACTTCTCCTTTCGCGTTCTTCCGCCCCCCTTCCTCACTCCCCCCCCTCTCCCCACCCTCTCCCGTCCCTCTCGCTCTCTCTTTCTTTGTTTCGCTCCATCCCCCTCCCTCCACCCCCATCCCCTTAATCTCCCCCCACACCCCGTGGGTGTTGTGACCCACCCTCTAACCACCCCGCGCCACGTGGCGATCGCGCCGCCAGGTGGACATATGGGAGGAGCGCAAGGTGTTTGGGCAGCGCGACGAGCCGCTGAGGAAGCTGCTGCTGGGGGATCTCGCCACCGCGCCGCCCGCCACGTCAGCCGCTCAGGCGGACGAGCAGCCAGCCGCGGGAGCCGCTTCCACGGCCAAGGTGAGGCGCGAATGGTGTGCAAGGAGGTGCAGTGCGATTGAGATGCAGTGGGAGTGGGAGTGGGATGCAGTGTTGCAGATGCGTTTCCAAGTGCCTGTGAAATCATTCCTGAGGGAGGCAGCTGCTGCAGAGGATTTTTTTGGGCGCCTCAGAATTGATTTCTATGGCGGTGGTGAGGAGAGTGGTCAGCGCGTGCGAGAGAGATAGAGAGGGAGAGAGGGAGGGAGAGAGGGAGAGAGGGAGGGAGAGAGGGAGGGAGAGAGGGAGAGAGGGGGGGAGGGAGGGAGAGGGGGTTCGAGAGGAGGAGGGGTAGAGAAGGTAAGAGAGGGAGCGAGAGAGAGAGGGAGAGAGAGGGCACATATTGTCAGTGTGAGGTGTACAGTGCAGGACAGAGACAACAACGGTTATGCATCTCGCTATCACTCTTCCCCCCACCACTCATTTCTCTCCACCAACACCCTTCCCGAATTCAGATGTCGTCGGTGTGCTGTGCTGTGCAGTGCAGGACGCGAGTAAGAATGAGGACAGATGCAAACAGGCACATGTGCTCCTGCACCGTTGTTCACTCACTCCCTTTTCCCCTCTCCCCCACCACCCAACCACCCGCCCCAACCCCTCCTCCGTCTTGGCAGGTGCGCGGGCCACTGGAGCGCATATCGTCTGTCTATGGCGCGGTGCAGGATGCGAGCAAAGACGAGGACACGGCGGTGCGGCGCTGCAGCGCCATAATCAACGAGCTACAGACCATTGAGAAAGAGTTGACAGCACTGAAGTCGCCCGCCAATGCGTCAGGTGAGTGAGTGCCTGTGTGCGGCTGTTTGTTGGTGTGTTTTCTCTGTTGTGTGCTGTGGTCATGTGTATGCGAGTGTGGGTGGGTGGGTGTGGCGCTGCAGTGTTATCATCAGAGCTGCGATCCATTTAGAAGGAGCTTACAGCTCTCAACTTCCCTGCAGCAGTGCTGCGAGCTTATGCCTTCTTCCTTGCTCCCACTGCTCCCCTTGCCCCAATTCCTCCCCTTGCACCCACCAGAGGCGAACGAGCGGGTGGTGATGCTGGACAGGTTGGGCACCAAGAGGCACGTGCTGTGCTATAGCAGTGCTGCAAGTTAAAGCCTTCTTCTTTTCCAATTGCCTTTTTCTTCTTCCCCCAAGCCCCCGTCACCCACCAGGGGCAGACGAGCGGGCAGTGGTGTTAGACAGGCTGGACACCAAGAGGCACGTGCTGCAGCAGTGCTGCGACCAGACGGCTGATTCCTTGTCCCACTTCTCTTGACCCTTGTCCGCTTGCTCCCACTTGTCCCATCATGCCCCTTGCACCAACCAGATGCTGACGAGCGGGCAGTGGTGTTGGACAGGCTGGACACGAAGCGCCACGTGCTGCGACCAGATGGCGGCGTGTGAGAGGAGACACACTGTGTACACTCGCTGTCTTTCTCCTCTCAGTGTTTCTCCACTCCACCCCGTGCCTGTTCATTCCCAGAGGCTGACGAGAGGGCAGTGGTGTTGGACAGGCTGGACACCAAGAGGCACGTGCTGCAGCAGTGCTGCGACCAGATGGCTGCGTGTGAGCGCAAGCGAGCGCTGCTGGTGAAGCTGCTGACAGACGCGCTCCGGACGCAGGAGAGCAAGCTGGAGCGCCTGAGATCGCAGGTGGAGGTGAGATGCCTCGAGAGCCCTTTGAGCACCGCTTTGAGCTCAGCTCGTGAAAATCAAACACACCGGCAGGTGTAGGTGAGATGCGCGGAGCCTGCTTTCCGCATCCACGATTCTCCTCTCCTATTTTCCGCGTTCCCTGCAGGGACGGGTCACTTCTCTGTCTCTCTTCATCGCCGATCGCACGCACGCAGTGGAAGATCGCAGCCAACCTGCGCGAGCGAGGCACGGAGGGGGACGCTGCTGCTCGTCTTATGAGCTTTTGTTCCCCTCCTCATTGTATCCCTACTCGTGTGTGCCACCCATGTGTACATTACGAACTGACCCCTGCTCACTGCAGATCGCGCGCACGCAGTCGGAGATAGCAGCCAACCTGCGCAAGCGAGCCACAGAGGAGGACGCTGCCCGTGCCTCTGCAGGCCTCACTGCTGCAGCCAACCCCTCCGCTGTTGCGGCTGCTGCCCCGGCCACCACTGCTGCTGCACCAACACCATCCGCCACAGCATTCTTTGCAGCCCCACAGGGCACTCCTGCAGCAGCTTCTTCTGCTGCTACTGCTGCTCCTGCTGCTGCTGCCCCCGCCTTCGTTCTTCCCGGCTTCCAACCTCCCCCAGGCACGCCTCCTGAGATGGTTGCTGCTGCTGCTGCAGCCGCTGCCGCCGCCGCTGCTGCAGTGAACAGCTCTCAAGCCTCTACCCCTGCTGCTGCTGCCGCTGCCGCTGCTGCCGCCGCTGCTTCTGCTGCGGCTGCCGGCAATCCTGGTTTGCCGGCTGGTCTTGCTGCATCGGCAGGCGCGGGTGCCGGAGCTGGTGGGGTTACCGACGCTGAGCGGGAGGCTCGGCGGAAGCGGGCGGCGGAGCTGACGAGCCAGCTGGTAGCTTCGGCATCATCTGCCGCAATTTTAAAATCCGTTCTTTCGTCGTTTGCGGCTGGGCAATCAGTAGCAGCAGGAGCCGCCGCCGCCGCTGCTGCTCCGGCTGACGCTGCTGGTGCAGGTGGCGGGGGGGATGGTGGTGGTGGCGGTGGTGGGGGGTTACAGATTCCAGGAGCACCAGTTTCTGGGGCAGATGCTACAAACGACCCTTCTCAGCCACCTGAGAAGCGGCTGCGACCCACCGATACAAGCACACAGCCTCTATCACACTCGTTTGCAGCTCCTCCCGCCACTGCCGCTGCCTTTGCTTCCCCGAACGATGCAATGTTCCCCCCGCCCCCACCCCCACTGAACATGGATGGCATGTCGTTCCCCCCCTTGCCCCCTCCTCCCCCTCTCCCTTCTCAATCCCCTCCTCCCCAACAGACCTCTGCTGCCATGCCTCAGTATTCTCTCGCTCCCCCTCCCCCTCCCTACACTGCTTATCCTCCCAATGCTGCCACTGGCGCTCCCCCCCCTGCGTATAATGTTCTAGGGCAGGGAAATGGGGGTTATCAGGGGCAAGGACAGATGGGGCCAGGGGAAGGGGGTGTGCAAGGGGGTGATTTTTCGGGGCAAAATGGGGGAGTGTACAATGCGGGGAGCATGCCGTCTCAACAGTACATGTACGGTCAGGCACCGATGCAGTAGGTATGGAGATTTTGTTATTTTGTGCTAGGTTATTTTTCTTCCCCATTCTGGTTGTGCTCCCATGCATTTATTCGGCGGGCCCCAAGGGTGTTCCGTCTCTTGATTTTTCTGCCGCTCCTGAAGCCGCCACCCCGAGTAACGATACGGGTATCCCCGAAGGGACTGGGAACCTCGATTGGGTCCGGTTCGGCACGGCAAATAAGGATCACACACCAGTCGACAAGAACTCCTCCCATTCGGCAAGCGCACGAACTCCCAGGCGATGCGTCCATTGTACCGCGTCGCCTAGTCTTCTCCAGTCCCGCAGGAATCTCTTTTATCTTCTCTCGTCTCGTTTCCGATTCCCCTCATGCCGGCGGGCGCTTGCTCCGCCGCCGCTGTCGCTGACCTCGCCATTTGCAGGCGATCGTTGTGCGACGGTAGAAGGTCGTGCGACAGTAGCCGACATCCGTGCGACAGAAACTCAGGCGTCGTAGCGCGCTGTTTCATCCGCTTTCCTCCGCCGTCGGCGCGTCCACCCGCGCTCGCCGCGCCGTTTCCTCCCGAACCAGCTTGCCCCGCGCCTAGCCTTCCCCACGGCCGCGCCCGCGCGCGCGCATTGCGTTTCACCCGCGCCGCTATGCAAACACCCCGCGCGGAAGCTTCCACCAGGAGTGGCGGGGAGGGCGCAAACGCGGCGAGACCGCGGGTTAATGGTTCCAGTGGTGCGGCGGCGGCCGCAGACAGTGGCGGCGGCGGCGGGGGGGGCGGCTCGAGCGAGTGGACTGGCTCCGTGTGGAGCGCGCAGGAAATCGCTGACGTGGCAGGGGGCACGGTCATCAGGGACTGCCCGCCGGGGCGCGTCTGCACTGACACGCGCCAACTGGCGCCCGGCGATTGGTTCCTGGCTCTAAGAGGGCCGCGATTCGACGGTGCGGATTTCCTGGAAGAGGCGGCGCGGAGGGGGTGCGGGGGGGCGGTTGTTATGGGGGACGGATGGGGGGAAAATGGGGAAGCGGGGAGTGGGGGGAATGCGCCGGAGGGGGGCGGCGGAAGGGAGACAGGGAATGGGGAAGAGGGGGGATGCGCGAAAGAGGGGTTAAGAGGGAAGGATGCAAGGAAGGAAGGTATGGCGAGGGGTGAAGAGGGGTTAAGAGGTGAAAACGGAGCAGGGGAATCAAACGTGCCTCCCAACCTGCTGCCAGAGGGATGGCAGGGCGGGTTGGTGGTGGTGCCAGACACGCTCGGCACGCTGCAAGGCTTGGCGAGGGAGGCTCGGCGGAGGTTCGGCGGCGTGGTGGTGGGGGTGACAGGCAGCGTGGGGAAGACTACGGCGCGGGCCTTAACTGCCCTCGCGCTCTCGCCCCTGGGGGCTGTGCACCAGGTGGGTGCTGCATGGTGGAATGGGGTGGAATGGGGTGGAATGGGGTGGGGGGGCACCAGGTGGCTTGGTGCTGTCGCCTCCGGGGGCTGTGCACCCGGTGCATTGGAGGGAGGGGGAAATGGGGTGGAGTATGGTGGGGGCTCTCAAAAGGCCCTTTCGTTCCATGACTCCCATCATCTCTTACATTGCATCGCTTCCATCTCTTCCCATGTCATCCCCCATTCCACACATGTGTGTCCCCGTGGCCCCACACCTGCTGTGAGCAGACCCAGGGCAATCTGAACAACCACATTGGAGTGCCGCTCACTCTCTTAGGTACGTGCAAATGATGGCGGGGTGGGTGATGCTCATGTCAGCATGTTCGAGGCATGTATTGTTTTTGTTCTCCTGTTTCTTGTTAAAGTGTCGGTTTTGATGCCTTGCTAAATATGCTGTCTTTTGAGACGTCTCAAAAGTCTTGTATTATTCTTGTTGGTTTTGATGCTTGGCTAAATATGCTGTCCTCCCCCTCTTCTCCCCTACCCTATCCTGCACTGCACACCCCCCTTTAAACGCGCTACCAGCCCTCCCCCAGGCATCAGCAGCGTGTGTGGTGGAGATGGGAATGAGTGCGCGGGGTGAAATCGCCCTCCTCTCTTCCATCGCCGCTCCCTCCATCCGACTGCTTCTCAATGTCGGCCCCGCTCACATCGGGGACCCTTCACTCGGGTCTTTGGAGGCCATAGCAGAGGCCAAAGGGGAGATGCTGGCGGATGCGAGGGAGGGAGATATATGCGTGGTGAATGGCGACGATGCGCGAGTCATGGGGCTGCCAATGGGGAGAGGAGTGAGACGGGTGAGTGTGTGGGAGCACTTGTGTATGCAGGCACTTCTTTGTGTGCGGCAGCGACATGAGCACACTGGGCTTGTGTGTGCGTGGTGAATGGCGACGATGCTCTAGTCATGGGACTGCCGATTGGAAGAGGAGTCAGTCGGGTGAGTGAGTGTGTTCGTACGAAAGTGGTTCCAAGTGTGCTGGCCGGCAACGCGAAGCGAGAAGGCCGGAGTGGGCTGGGTGCATTTGTTGGAAAAAAGGCCTCTCACATGCTCCCCAAACAAATTTGTAAAATTTACCAGCTGAACCTGAGCTCTCTGAAGCCTAATCCTATCCTCCTCCCAACACCTTGCACCCGCATGTTCCTGCAGATCACCTTTGGCCTCTCCGCCACCAGTGACGTGCAGCTGCTGTGGGCATGGGCTGTGGATGGTGGCATGGCAGTTGAAGCATTGCAACCTGGCACGCACAGGAGGAGGAGGCGCAGTCGCACTACTGGCAAAGGCCTAATTCCTCCCTCCCATCCCCTTCCACCCACCCGCGTGTCCCCGCAGATCACATTTGGTCGCTCACCCGGCTGCGACGTGCAGCTGCTGTGGGCGCGCGCTGTGGATGGCGGCATGGCGGTTGAAGCTTGCATTCACAACAACCTGGCACGCACAGGAGGAACAGCAGCAGAAGGACGCGGAGGGGGAAGAGGGGTGGAATGGCAGAGCAGCAAGGAGGAGAGCACGGATCCAAGCAGCAGTGCACTGAGTGCCGGAGCCGGGGCCGTGCGTTTGAATTCCGATGGAGACATTGAGAACACGAGGGATGTGCATGGGAAGGAGAGCAATGCAGACGACAAAACGGTGTGTGTGCGGATCAACAGCCCCGGGTTGCATCTGGCTGACAACGCCCTTGCAGCCGCAGCCGTGGCCGTGGCGGCAGGCGTGCCTCTGCCAATGGCAGCGCGACACATGGCGCTGTACGAGCCCATCGGGATGAGGATGCGGGTCGAGCGGATTCGGAGGAGAGGAGCGGCGGGAGAGGAGGGCAAGAGGAGCGAAGGGAAGGGAGAGGGACACGAGGGAATCGGTGTGACTGTACTGAATGATGCTTATAACGCCAGTCCAATCAGTGTTGCGTCGGCTCTTCACCTTCTGCATCAGCTCTCGCTGGAATCAACTGCCCCCTCTGCCTCCTCCGCCGCCTCCTCTCCACCAGTCTCAGGCCGCCACGTGGCGGTGCTGGGCGACATGCTGGAGCTGGGCAGCCAATCAGAGAGTGCACATGTGGACGCTCTCTCCCTCTGCCTCTCCCTCTCAGGAATCTCTCTCGTCCTGGCGGCTGGCGCGGCCTTCAAGTCCGCTCTGGGGAAAGTGGTGCAAAGGAGAGTGAGGGGAGGCGCAGAGGAAGGAATGGAGAGGGGTGAGGATGGGAGCTGCAGTAATGAAGATGATAGAGACAGTGGGGAGTGGAAAATCGGCCGTCTGCACTGTTTTCTGGAAGGTGGTGGGGAGAGGCGCTTGGAGGTGCATGCGTTTGATTCGGCACAAGACCTTGCAGAGGCTATAGCGTTATCTGCATGCATTGCAGAGTCTCTATTTGAAGCGCCTAAAGAAGCGGTGGATATGGGGTTGATACAGTTGGGAGATGTGGTGCTGGTGAAGGGGAGCCGAGGAATGCGCATGGAACTAGTGTGCGATGCCCTTCGCTCAGCTTTTGGATCAGGGAATGATTAAGTGGTTACTGGGCTTACGAAGTGACATTTTGGTGTTGTTCCATTCTATGCATGTCAAAATATGGTGATAAACAAGCCTTTGATAGGTGTCCTTCCTGCTATTACATGTGGGAGTGTATGGGATCAATATAGCTTACGTTTAGAGTGGTATGAATTGAATCAAGCAACCAAGTTCATGGTTGAGTGTACCAGTATTTTTATTGCGCTGAGGTGGAGGTGCGTTCCCTTGAGACTGGAAGTACACTAATCCTAGCCAATCAAAGAGATTTCAGATGTTAATTACGTAATGCCATGTGTCGCGCCTCTAGCTGGGAACCACACGTGAGAACGGCGACCAACCAGCGCGAACAGCGTGGCAGCCATCTGTCGGTCCAAAATGCACTCCGTGGGTGTATGCATTGAATAGTGTAATACATCCCTAAAAAAAAAAAAAAAAAAAAAAGCACTCCGTGGCGCGTCGCAGATGCACAGACGAGGGCTCATTCAACATCTGTTTTGGTACCAGATCAGACCCCTCTTACCTAAACGTGCAGTTTGAGTACAGATCGTGATCAAAGAAAGCAGTCCTGTCCTTCCATCTGGAACCTCAAACCAATCATATACATCTTCAGTAGTTGTGATGACATCCCACATTGAGAAGAAGGCCTCTTGGAAACCACTGAAAGCTTAGTGTCCAGCATAGATATTCCTGCAAGGAACCGGAACTCAACACAAGTGCTCATTAGTTTCGTTTCGCATCCTGATCACTGTGTTGTGGCTCTTGTGCTTGAGCCTCTAAGATTGACCTGACCTGCATCTATAACCGTCATCCATCAGATCTCTCTCCCACAATGTCGCTCGCCGCACTGTCGTCCAATGGCGTTTCGTTCGGACGGATGGCATCCGAGGCGGGTAGAATCTCTACAACCGTCGTATCTGAAGCCAAATCAGGTAAGGCTTCTGCGTCTCTGTCTGTGTTTCATCTTTTAACGAAGAGCGAACCTAACGCGCGTGCACACACGTGTAGTGAAGTAGGCATTCAGAAGCGCACATCCGTTATCCTGTCAAGTAGCTGTCGCCATTAACTGGCATTGGCTGTCGGTGGTAGACACATGCGTCGGATGACGTCATTTGAGACGCCTCAACCTATGACCGACGATGCAAATTAAGCTGTGACGCATAGTCCTCTTGTCACCGCTCTACTGTTTCGTGCAATACATTGCCTTCCATGAAAACTGCTTCGCAAAACACGTCCTCCGGCTTGCAATATACATTCCCTCTTCAAACGCTCATACTTCTCCCCCTCCCCTCTTCCTTGAAACCCCCGCCCAACCCCCAGTTAACCTTCTTGCTCCCCAGCGCCCCTCCCTTTCCTCCAAGCCCCTCTCCGCCGCTTCCCCGCATCAACGCCTCCCTCAAAGGCCCGCGCGGCCAGTAGCGGCGGTCGCGGCGGAAACCGCCTCCGCGGAAGACGACTCCGCGGACGTTCCCCCGCCGGGGTGTTCGCGGATCAAAATCGAGCTCGCGCGCCCGCTGGGGCTGGTCCTGGAGGAGCGCGCGGGGGGGATTTTCGTGGCGGAAGTCGCGCGCGGGGGAAACGCGGAGGCGACGGGGCTTGTAGACGCTGGCGACCAGCTGATTGCGACGAGTGCGATCGTGTTCGACGACAGCGACTCGTACGGCGGGGTCGTCGTGAAGAAGGGCATGCGGATCGTACGGTTCAACGTTCGCGGCGAGAAGTTTGACACGGTACGAACGGGCCACGATCTCTCTTAGAGACGTGACAGAGTGTGTCCTCGCTTTACGGAGCTGGGGAACGAGGTTTCGCCAGGGAACGAGGAGTGAGTGAGGGACATTAGGATGGGAAACAGTGTGAGCGTGGGGATGAGACTTGGGGAAAGTGGACAGGAGTGGAACGTTAGAGATGCACATGTAGCAATCCCCGTACCCCCCGCGTGATCCCACACTTTTCTCTCCATCAACCTGCCTCTCCTCTCTCTATCCCCTCCCATTACTACCCTCTCATTCACTTTCTGTGTGCAGGTTATGGCTGCAATCGGGACACATCCGTCGTATCTCAAGGTGAGCCACTTACGGAGTCAATCAGATGTAGGTCATGGCGGAGTCAATCTCAAGGTGATGGCCGCGACTCAAATGATTTTTTTTTCTGTTGTCCCAACCCCTCATTAGTTCCAACTGTTGTCTCAGCCCCTCCCGCATTGTAGCGAGTTTCGTTTTTGTAACAGTCCGTTTTCCATCTGTCTCTCTTTTAAGGCATCTGAATGTAGTGTGTAACCCAACTTGTTACACGGTGCCAATTCTTTTGCTCTGTACCAATCATTGCAGTGCGTCCCTCTTCTTTGCTGCTTCCACATCGCCCTCGTATCACGGTGCTCACATTGCTCACACACGTCACACTACCCACCACACAATTCGCCCGCTCCTCCACCCGTCTGCATCCGAGCAGATCGCGATTGCATTACTAAATGGTGGTCTGTGCTGCTCCCCCCATCTCCAGGTCACCAGGGACGCCACCACCTCATGCAGATACACTTGTGTTGAAACCAACTAACGCGAAACTCTGTCTTGTGCTCTTCTCCCCCCATCTCCAGGTTGCTATAGAACTGCAGAAGTGCAAGCCGCTCTCCAGGGACCCCACCACCTCGTAGACCGCCCTGTTACATTGACGCCTCTTGACTCTGGGCTTAAGAAATAGACGTCTCACCGAGCTCCCCACTACCTCTTATTAGATGCTCACGACCCTCCTGGCTAGGCGCATTTCTATCCCCTGATTGGATTGCACGAAATGCACAAGTGCTGGCTGTGCCCTGTTTGAATCTAAGTTCCTGCCCGCTGCATTGACTTTTAGTGAGCAGTCTGGCAGACACCTCCTTCTGGTATTGGCACACACCCACGCCTGCTCAGAAGCTGAGGAGGACAGGCATGGTACTTTTCCCTCACATTCTGTTCGTGTGCGCATCCAACTGTAACGACATCGATGTATCGCACTGGCTGGGTGTAAAACCTTGATTGGACAACTAGGTACTGACTCATGAGATGTCAATCAAGCATTTCACTGGTGAATTGGATAAGTTCTGACTGTGTAATTCACAGGAATGAGGGCATACATAACACAAGCACACCCAAGGCTGATAAGGAGTTTATTCATTGCCCGGGTTCAGTTGCCGCTGACTGGATTGGATCGAGAGTATGCAGAAGGACCAAGTGCTGCAGCGGGGGTGCAGGAGAGGAAAGTGCGACTGTGGGGTAAAAATGAGCGGTGAGAGCGGCCGCGGGGCAAAAATGAGAGGTGAGAGCGGCTGTGGGGAAAAAATGAGAGGTGAGAGCGGCTGTGGGGCAAAAATGAGAGGTGAGAGCGGCTGTGGGGCAAAAATGAGAGGTGAGAGCGGCTGTGGGGCAAAAATGAGAGGTGAGAGCAGCTGTGGGGCAAAAATAAGAGGTGAGCGCGGCTGTGGGGCAAGAAGTCGAGGAGAGTGAGGCTGTTGAGCAATGCGTGCACACATGTCTGAGTGTGTATGTGTGTGTGTGTGTGTGTGTGTGTGTGTGTGTGTGTGTGTGTGTGTGTGTGTGTGTGTGTGTGTGTGTGTGTGTGTGTGTGTGTGTATGTGTGGGTGTGTGTGCGTGTGTGTGTGTGTGTGGGTGTGTGTGTGTGTGTGTGTGTGTATGTGTGGGTGTGTGTGCGTGTGTGTGTGTGTGTGTGTGTGGGTGCGTGCGTGTGTGTGTGTGTGTGTGTGTGTGTGTGGGCGTGGATGGGTGATCAACTGGTTTAAGAGTCATGTATACTATCATTTGATGTAAGCGAGTACTAATGGAGCTGGATAGTCCATAAACAAGTACTAATCAGGACAATTGTCCTTCTACACACTCCCCCAGAATATGCAAACAGAGCATCTAGACAAACTCCTAGGAAATACTGTTCGCTAATCAATCCCCTTTTCAGTCAAATAGGCATCCCCCTTCCCCCTAGAATATAATTTCTACGTTGGCATCAGACACAGTAGCACAGAAGCTGCAGCATGCCTGCTCAGGTTACGGCTATCCAGAGAGGCCTTCCGAAGCCTTTTCCTCAATTCAGGGCTTCTGGAGAGCGTCAATACCGTGCACAACTAAGTACTTTCCTACGTAGATCCCTGCGACCACGACAACACATTCTTAGACTGCCCGAGCGCAATCTCTGATCCCTTCTTCATGAACATGGGCACCTTGTACTTCCTCAATTCACGGCCCAACTCGGTAGGGAATCGCTTGTTGTGGATAAGACCACCATAAGTGAAGATCCCGTTGAGGACATTCATCTTGCCGATTTTCTCAAGCTTCTTCGACCCCCCACCAGTGAGCGAGCCAAGGCCCCCCATGCTGAGTGCCAAGTTGGACGGGACGAGAATGGTCGTTTGGAAAAGAAGGCCCCACCTTGGATCGGTCTCATCCATGGTTTCTGAATTCGGGAAACATAATTTAAAAATGGGAAATGAATAACCACAAATCTTTAGGAACGAAAAAAAACCCAAATTTCCATTTACTTTTGCAACAGTGTTCCGAAGCTGAATTAAACGCAAACCGGCGCTTACCCAATGAGGGAATGGCTTTCTCAAGTGCGGCGGCGATAGCGGCGTATCTCCCAAGGTACCCGACATTAGACAGGGCGACCTTGAGTTTCTTTGACCTCGCTGATCACCTCGGCCTTGTTCAGTCCGCCTCCCTCAGCCGACGCAGCGAGAAGAGCGAGGAGGACGATGACGAAAAGTGGGTGCTGCGTCATCATGGTGCTTTAGAGGAGAGCTAACAATGATTGGAGGGACGTTTTGTTGGCTAGTATTACGGAATAAGAGGCCTGCGTCGGACTGAACTGATGGTGAAGCTGGTTCTCACATGCATTTTTATAGCTGTTTTCTGGAAGTGGTTGAAGTTGAGGGGGATTTCGTGGACATGTTCCGTCGAGTTCCAATGCTACGTGTTACATTTGGGACAAAATAATGTCCTTGATATCCCTTCTGGCTTAACTGTAACGGGACTGAAACTGTTTTTGTTGAACACTCTCTTTGTAGTAGAGCTGGACATCACGTCAACGGTGAGACATGGCGGCAATGGGGGTGCTGCGACCGCATTGACACTAGGAAACGACATAACGCTTACGCGAGCCCAAATTTGTCAGCTCCACTCTCCCAACAACCACAGCTGTCGAGTTCCCCCCCTTCGACCTCATACCTCCATCACCTAGGAATGTTGAGAATGTGATGTGGTGTGATGGGGGCGGTGTGTATGCGGGGGCAGGGCGTGGAAAATGTATTTTATTTCGCAAGCAGGAGGAAGTGCACAACTCCTCCCACCCATTTTACGCATCGCGATTCCCGATTCGCGATTCTTCGCGCCCCCCTGTGGTGGCGCCCCCACCGACACCCACCATTCGAACCTGGCGGTTGCCTGCCAGGCCACAGACAGACATATCCAGCTTCGAATTGTTCAACACCAGCCCCAATCTCAGTCCGTCACCCTTGTTCCTACTCTAGGTTTGTTGAGTACCCATTTCGGGTTACCAAGGGTGAACCACAGGTTTTTGGCCGGAAATATATGAGCGAAACTCAGGGAAGGGTTGGAGCTTCAGTTCAGGAAAGTAAGGGTGCATTCGTAGGCTCGGAAGACCCAAAGTGGCTCGTTTGTGAGGCAAATCCGAGTTCGGATGAGCCAAATTGGAGACTAAGGGGCTTTTGACCTGAAGTCTGACACGGGGCACGAATTCACCCTAAAAGGGCCGACTTTGCGCGGAAGCCAGCGGGTCCTCCAAATCTTTACCTTCCTGCCCAAGGTTTCTTCAGGGTTTCTCCTGCGCGTACTCCAGGGGAAGCTAAACACAGGCTCTCGTTGACTGATGTCAGCGGCCACAATTGATTCTGTTTGAAGACGACACGTGCATACCACCCCGAGACCGTACAATGCAGCGGCATCCCCTCCCAAAAACTAGAGTTGCAATTTAGCACACAAATAAAACAAACAGTAAAAAGAATAAGTTGTGAATTGTTATGGGTGCAATGAATCGAGGTAGCGAGGATTGCACGTGTCAAATGAGTACAAAATGTAAGCAAAGGCATGATCATACATTTATACGCGAAACATGCAAACGGTAACGAGGTGAATGGGAGCTAGCTAGTGATACGCTGGCAGCGAGGCTCGGGCTAGTCCCGAAGTGCAGGCCGACACGGCCGGGCCAGTAGTGCGAGTTTGGTGAAACACTGCTCGCGAAGTCGGCGAAGCCCCGTTAGCAGTAACGGGCGAACAACGGCTGCTGCTGTACGCGATGTTGCAGGGCGCGCTAAGGAATGTCGAGAAAATTCCTTACACTAACCCACCCCCCCCCTCTCAAGAAGCCCCCTCCGCTACGCGAGTGCATGTACATCGCGGAATCCCCGAATCCTCAGGTACACTTGCAGGGCAGGGTGGTTGTCAATGTTGGCTAGGGGCACCCAGCTATCCTCGGTTGGCGTGGGGTCCTTCGAGCGAACGAGGAATTCAATCTTCCTTATTCCCATGGGGTGTCGAATCCGATGGCTCAAGATTTTTTCGGGCTCGATGATTGGCTCTGATACAGGGCGAGTCATGGATGGCGGGCGGTGACGAGGCACTTGACTTGTGGTTGGGATGTAGGGGCGACGAATGCTAACGTGGAATGATGGGCTGATGTGCCAGTCTGTCGGCAACAGTAAGTGGGCTGTCACTGGGGTAATCATGTGGCTGATTTGGAATGGTCCACACTAGCGGAGTCGTAATTTCGGTACGACGGGCAGTCTTAAGTTCTGTGTGTCAAGCAGTATATAATCGCCTGACTGGTACTTGAGTGGGCGGCAGTGGCGGTCGGCGTTGTGCTTAGCGATGACATTGGTTTTTTTAATTGCTTCTATGGCTCTGGTGCAGGCAGCTTGCAGAGTTTCGACGAATTGCTGTGCAAGTGGTGTTGGGTTGTCCGGGCTCGGCGTCATGGGCACTGTAGGGTTTTGCCCGTAGTTCAGGTAGAAGGGGGACTGCTGCGTCGTCGCTTACGCGAACTCGATCAGCGACAACTGCTGCTCCCAAGTGGTTGGGTCGTCGCACGTGGCATGAATCAATCGCTCCACCATTTGATTCGTCCGCTCCGTTTAACCGCCGGTCTCGGAGTAGTACGACGAGCTGAAATGTAGCCTTGTCCCGAACTGCTCCCAGAGGTTTTTCCAAAAGTTGTTGGTAAACTTCGTGTCGCGGTCGCTGATTATCGCGGCTGGTATCCCGTGCAATCGAACGACAGCTGCGATGAACAGGCGAGCGGTTTCTTCGGCTGTGATCGATTTCTTGCATGCAGCGAAGTGTGCCATCTTCGTCAATCTGTCAACGACGACCATAAATGCGTCGTTACCCCCAGGGTTCGAAGGTAACCCCGTGACGAAATCTATGGTAACCTGCTGCCAGGCGCGCTTAGGTGGTGGAATCGGCTGCAACTGACCCGCCTTTCTTTTTCGCGAGCTCTTTATCATCTGACACGTAAGACACGAACCCATGTGGTGCTGTACGTCGGTCAACATCTCCGGCCAGTAGTAGTACCGCTGCAGCTGCTGTCGCGTTTTTTCTACCCCAAAATGTTCCAAGGTAATCCCGTCGTGTGCCTCCTGTAGTATTAGTTCCC